TGGTTCATCTTTTGCATTACAAAACGCTTAGGAAATCAAAAAGAAATGACGTTAGAAAAAAACCTACGCTTATATCAGCACGACAAGTAACTTTCCAAGCCTGAATTAAACAAGCTAATAAAGATGCAGAATAAAATGCAGCATTTGAAAATATTTTAGAAATTTCAAAAACGAGTTTTAATCATAATATTCAATTAAAAGCAAACCAAATCGACGGATTGATATTCCTTCATTGAATCAATATAAAGCATGCAATGTCATCACATAACTGATAAAAAATTTCTACAAACAGTTTAAAAAAAACTTTGGCTACTGAAAGACCGTTGATTTCAGCGAACAAATAAACTTAACCGATCAGAAGAAAAATTCATCATGAATTCGAGAAAAAGCCTCTGATATCATCACACTAAAGGATGACAATTTTTTTCAAAAATTTGACCAGTTTAAAAGACGCTGAAAATAACGAACACTGACAAAGAAACAGATGAAAAACAAAACGATTTAATATCAGCTTCATTGAAAAAATCTTTGCTGCTGACTGATGTTTGATATAGAAGCTAGTATGGTTCGTCTTTCGCATAACAAAACGCTTATGGAAATCAAAAAAGAGTAAATGAAATGACGTTAGAAAAAACCAATGCTTATCCGCTTATCAGTTTCATAGCCTGAATTTAAAAAACCGAAAAAAATGCGAACTCTAATTTTTTGAAATTTGCAAAAAAAGAACCACTCATGAGACTCAATCGACAGCAAACTAAACCATCATCCTGTTTTTTCTTCATTGAATCAAGGTAATGCATGCAATGTCATCACATAATTGATAAAAAGCTCAAAAAATTTGTTGCTACTGAAAGACCGTTGATTTCAGCGAACATTTTGATTTACCGATCAGAAGAAAAATTCATCTTGAATTCGAGAAGAAGCCTCTGAGATCATCAGACTAAACGATGACAAATGAATTCAAACATTTGACCTGTTTAAAACAGACGCTGAAGCTAACTAACACCGACAAAGAAACAGATGAAAAACGGAACGAATTTAAATCAGCTTCATTGAAGAAGTATTTGCTGCTGACTGATGTTTGATATAGAACCTCGAATGGTTCATCTTTTGCATTACAAAACGCTTAGGAAATCAAAAAGAAATGACGTTAGAAAAAAACCTACGCTTATATCAGCACGACAAGTAACTTTCGAAGCCTGAATCAAAAAAGCCAATAAAAAATGCAGAATTTTATAACATTTCAGAATTTTCAAAAAAGAGTTACACTCAGGAGACTCAATTGAAAGCAAACCAAATCGTCATACAGTTTTTTCTTCATTGAATCAAGATAATGCATGCAATGTCATCACATAACTGATGAAAAATTTCTAGAAAAAATTCAGAAAAACTTTTGCTACTAAAAAATCGTTGATTTATGCGAAAAATTTGATTTAATCGATCAGAAGAAAAATTGATCATAAAATCGAGAAAAATCCTCTGAGATCATCACACTAAAAGATGACAATTTATTTCAAAAATTTGATCACTTTAAAAGAGACGCTGATATTAACGAACCCTGACAAAGACACAGATAAAAAACAAAACGATTTTAAATCAGATTCATTGAAAAAGTCTTTGCTGCTGACTGATGTTTGATATAAAAGCACGAATGATTAATCTTTAGCATTACAAAAAGCTTATTGAAATCCAAAAACAAATGAAAGGACGTTAGAAAAAACCTATGCTTATCGGCGCTACAACTAACTTTACAAGCTTGAATTAAACAAGCTGATAAAAACGCAGAATAAAATTCTTAACTATTTACTTAGCTTGGGAAATCGGATAATAGAAGTCAGAACTCAGCTTATAAGCACTACAAAGAAGCAGCTTATAAGCATTACAACAAAATTATCAACTTGGTTCAACAAACTTCTGCTTCTGAGTGACCGTTGATTTCACCGAACAATTTGATTTAACCGATCAGAAGAAAAATTCATCATGAGTTCAAGAAAAATCCTCTGAGATCATCACACTAAAAGATGACAAACGAATTCAAACTTTTGACCAGTTTAAAAACAGACACTGAAGCTAACTAACCCTGACAAAGAAACAGATGAAAAACAAAACTATTTTAAATCAGCTTCATTGAAAACGTCTTTGCTACTGACCGATGTTTGATATAAAAGCTCGATCGGTTCATCTTTTGCATTACAAAACACTCATGGAAATCAAAAAAAGAAAAGAAATGACGTAAAAAAACCCATGCTTATCGGCATTACAACAAACTTTCCAAGCCTGAATTAAACAAGCTGTTAAAAAAGGCAGAAATTTATAACATTTCAGAATTTTCAAAAAAAAAAGAGTTACACTCAGGAGACTCGACTGAAAGCAAAGCAAAACTTCAGACAGTTTTTTCTTCATTGAATCAAGATATTGCATGCAATGTCATCGCATAACTGATGAAAATTTTCAAGAAAAAATTCAAAAACACTTTTGCTACTGAAAGATCGTTGATTTATGCGAAAAATTTGATTTAATCGATCAGAAGAAAAGTTGATCATAAAATCGAGAAAAAGCCTCTGAGATCATCACACTAAAAGCTGACAATTTGTTTCAAAAATTTGACCAGTTTAAAAAAGACGCTGATATTAACGAACCCTGACAAAAAACAGATAAAAAACAAAACGATTTTAAATCAGATTCATTGAAAAAGTGTTTGCTGCTGACTGATGTTTGATATAGAAGCAAGTATGGTTCGTCTTTTGCATAAAAAAAAAGCTTATTGAAATCCAAACGAAAACAAATGAAATGATGTTAGAAAACCTATGATTATCGGCACTACAACAAACTTCCCAAGCCTGAATTAAACAAGCTGATAAAACAATCTGATATCTAGAAGTCCATTAGAATTTTAGCGACTTTAACATTGCTGCAGTTCGATTAGTGGAGTTTGCCTTCCTTTTAACAAAAGAAATGAACAGAACTTGAAAAAACCTCGAAAGTCAATTCGGGAGACATTCATTTTTACTTAAAACAAATCGAGTTTTCCAGAAAAAAAAACAAGCAAAAAAATCACAAAGACCTATTTAAGACTTTTAATAAGCTGAATCCAACTAACAATTCATCTTCAGCGTTACAAAAAGCTGGTGAAAACCAAAGAATTAAAATGACAACATTATATCAAGCCATGGATGTTAAAATCAACTGTATATATCAACAAAAACTCAGCTTATAAGCACTACAAAGAAGCAGCTTATAAGCATTACAACAAAATTATCAACTTTGTTCAACAAAACTTCTGCTTCTGAGTGACCGTTGATTTCACGGAACAATTTCATTTAACCGATCAGAAGAAAAATTCATCATGAGTTCGAGAAAAATCCTCTGATATCATCACACTAAAAGATGACAAACGAATTCAAACTTTTGACCAGTTTAAAAACAGACACTGAAGCTAACTAACCCTGACAAAAAAACAGATGAAAAACAAAACTATTTTAAATCAGCTTCATTGAAAACGTCTTTGCTACTGACCGATGTTTGATATAGAAGCTCGAAAGGGTCATCTTTTGCATTACAAAACACTCATTGAAATCAAAAAAGAAGAAATGAAATGACGTAAAAAACCCATGCTTATCGGCACTACAACAAACTTTCCAAGCCTGAATTAAACAAGCTGTTAAAAAAGGCAGAATTTTATAACATTTCAGAGTTTTCAAAAAAGAGTTACACTCAGGAGACTCAATTGAAAGCAAACCAAATCATCCCACAGTTTTTTCTTCATTGAATTAAGATAATGCATGCAATGTCATCACATAACTGATGAAAACTTTCTAGAAAAAATTCAAAAAAAACTTTTGCTACTGAAACATCGTTGATTTATGCGAAAAATTTGATTTAATCGATCAGAAGAGAAGTTGATCATAGAATCGAGAAAAAGCTTCTGAGATCATCACACTAAAAGATGACAATTTGTTTCAAGAATTTGACCAGTTTAAAAAAGACGCTGATATTAACGAACACTGACAAAGAAACAGATAAAAAACAAAACGATTTTAAATCAGATTCATTGGAAAAGTCTTTGCTGCTGACTGATGTTTGATATTAAAGCACGAATGGTTAACCTTAAGCATTACAAGAAGCTTATTGAAATTCAAAAACAAATGAAATGACGTTAGAAAAAACCTATGCTTATCGGCGCTACAACAAACTTTACAAGCCTGAATTAAACAAGCTGATAAAAACGCAGAATAAAAATCTTAACTATTTACTTAGCTTGGGAAATCGGATAATTGAGTTCAATTTTCGAATCTAGAAGTCGATTAGAATTTTAGTGACCTTAACATTGCTGCAGTTCGATTAGTGGAGTTTGCCTTCCTTTTAACAAAAGAAATGAACAGAACTTGAAAAACCTCGAAAGTAAAATCGAGAAAAATTCCATTTTAGTAAAAACAAATTGAGACTTTTCCTGAAAAAGAAACAAGCAAAAAAAACCAGAAAGACCTATATAAGACTTCCAATAAGCTGAATCCAACTAACAGTTCATCTTCAGCGTTACAAAAAGCTGGTGAAAACCAAAGAATTAAAATGACAACATTATATCAAGCCATGGATGTTTAAATCAACTGTATATATCAACAAAAACTCAGCTTATAAGCACTACAAAGAAGCAGCTTATAAGCATTACAACAAAACTATCAACTTGGTTCAACAAAACTTCTGCTTCTGAGTGACCGTTGATTTCACCGAGCAATTTGATTTAACCGATCAGAAGAAAAATTCATCGTGAGTTCGAGAAAAATCCTCTGAGATCATCACACTAAAAGATGACAATTTAATTCAAACATTTAATTCAACATAAGTCGCAAAATGACGTTTTCCTCGGTACCATATTCAGCAAATCAGGCATGCAAACGAAATCTAATCACAAAATAAAAATATCAATCAATCACATTTCAGCCTTCTCGTGGTGATGTTCCTTATGGCGCCTAAGAACATAATAACAAAAATATATTAACCTGATGGCTATTTTAATTTGATGTCCATCAACCGTTGCTCCATCCAGGGCGACTAACGCCTTACCAGCTTCGTCTTCCTTGTTGAACTCCACAAAGGCGAGTCCTTTCGGTTTTCCGTTTTTATAGGTCACTATTCGAACGTCTTTAAGTAAACCATGATTGGAAAATAACTCACTCAACGTCTCTTTTGTTGTTTTTGTAGACAGGTCACTCACAAATAGCTTGTGTCTCTCCAATCCCGTAGTGTAAACAAGTTTATTTTCCGCACTTTGCTCATTCGCAGTTTCATTTTGTTTCGCTGCTTTTTTAGACATGTCATACTTGGACACAAAAACTGGACGGCCTCGTAATGGTTCCCGATTTAGTTTCATGGCCTCGGCCACCGACTCTTTTGTTTTGAAAATGCAATTTCCAAAGCCTCTCGACTTTCCTTCAACTTTTCTTGCAATTGACACCGCTTCAATCGATCCACAGCTCATGAAAAAAGTTCTGATATCTTCTTCGGTGGCATTGAAATCCAAATTTGCAAGAAAAACAGAAACATCGGCATTTTCTTCATTGCTTATAAATGATGGCACCTCAGCTTGAAGTTCAATGTTTTTTGCATGACTTTGAGGCACTTCCACGTTTTTTGCTACATCCGTTAGTTGATTATTTTCTTCAGCCGAACTGACTTTTTCTTCATTTTCCAGTTTGTTCTTTTTGAAAGGATTTGTACCCTCAACTTTTGGTTTTTTCGCAGATGATTTATCAGAACTATGTGGAGTTAGACTCTTATTCGCTTGTGAGTTACTTTCATGGGGTCTTTTGAGCCGTTTCTCGCAATTGTTTGCTGTCATTTGCTTTTCCTGATATTTCTCCTTCTTAATTCGATCAGTTTCTTTAACTCTCTCCACTTTACTCAAAAACAATTCTGTCTTATAAATTGCGACCTCTAGAGATTGCAAAGTACCATTAAGTCTTTCATACAAAAGAAAATTTTCAACTAATTTTTCAGGCTCGCTCATTCTCGGGTACATGAAAGCGCGGTGGTACAATTTCTGTAAATGAACTACAGTTCCAAATTTTTCTTCAAGAGAAAGATACTCAATCCATTTTGTACTGTTTAAACTATCTTCAACCAAAATTTTGTCAAAAATTTTACGAAAAACGTCCAGATTTGTAAAATATTTTGCTTCCACATTCGCTGCAAACCTTTTTACTTGATAAACAGCTTCTGGTAAATTAGAAAGATTGTCTAGGGCTTTATGGTAAGCATCCCGAAACTTCTTCAAGTGTTCTTTTTCAGAGCCCGTCTGACATTTTGAAAAACTTCTTCGAAGATATGCCAAATAAGCGAGAAAAAATTGAGATGAATCTTGGCCATATAAGGAAACTTTTGCTTCAGAGACAATTTTATCAACTTCAGCTTCCGACTTATTGAGATGCTCGCAAACATTGACGTAGTGCTGCCATATTATGGGCACCCACGGGACGTTTCTGACAGCTCGTTTACATATTTTTTCAGCCAGCTGATAATCTTTAATTTTCATTGAAGTGAACTCTATATATTTCGACCACAATTCTGATTCCAATGCATTGTGTTGTATAGCCCGTTCGAAAATACATCTGATTCTCGAAGGATCTCCTATAGTCATTTCGACTTCTAAGTAGTCTCTGAATTTTTCCAAGCTTGATTCGCCAGATTTCAGAGACTCTTCTAAAGCAATCTGACATGGCTTTACTTTGCTCAGAACCTTCTTCGCGCGATCGTATGCTTTTTCTGTTTCGTCGTCACTCCCCACTGCTTCAACAAACTCTTTGAAGACAGCTTCTGATTCCAAGAAGGGTATCGACAGTTGACGTTTAAAAAGGGAAGAAACAGTTGGAACATTCTCTAAATTTTTGAGCAATTCAGTCAATTCTTTGTTTTTCAGAAAACTTCGATAACTAGCGAACAATTTTGGGTTGGCATTTGGATCAAGACAAACAGCAGTCAAAGCTCTTTCGAATGTATTAAGAGCCTTCTTGATGAAATATTCATTTTTCTCTTTAAAGCAAACCTTTTCTACGTAACAACAATACTCAAACCAAACCTGAGGGTTCAGATAGTCTTCAACTGCGCGCTCGAATAACAAGCAAACTTCAGAAGTACTTAGTTCCTCTAACTTTATTTCGTCACCTATCCACCACAGCCAGAGCTGTTCGGTGAGTGGGAAAGTACTGCTCATGATTTCCCTTGCACTTCGCAATTTCTCCCATTGTTGCATCTCACTACACTTTCCGATCAAATTTATGTGAGCCTGGTAATCGTAAATGTTTGCGTCAACCATCGCCTGAGCTTCATTGATAATCAACTTAATTTCGGAAATTCTGCTATCAATGATAACATCATGAGCAGATTCACCATTAGTCTCTTCTACAGTTCAGGGATGTTCAAAATATTATCGCAATAACAATATATTGCAATTAAACACTGACAAACAAACCATCAAGAAAAATAACCAGGGAAATCGCTTTTTTCAAATATGGCTGATAGGCCTTAAATTAGTCTCTGATTTATATCACAGCATTGATTTAAATTCCCTCCACTAGCAAAATTTCAGCAAAAATGATAATAGTTGATTTATATTACTTTTGAGTCGCTACTTACGCGTCGTGCGCAAAAAAACTGAGATAACAATAGAGATATCCAATATAAATATTTTTGAACAAATTTAATTTAGAAATATATTGCAAGATAGTTTAGAACATCCCTGCTTCATTTTCATCATCTGACGAGCTGTCAGATTCTGTTGTGTTGTTTATATGATTTAGGGAAGCCATCAAACTACCTCTATAGTTTTCTGACTTTATTGCATCCTTTGAGCTTGACATAATATCTGAAGCCAAATCTGCAATTGAGTACAACTATAATACAAACTTCCTAGACAACCTTTCCATGAAAGATTTTTCCCGCGCAACTAAACACTTCTGTTTCTCAAAAGTTAGGAAAAATTGATCAGTATCTCAGTTATATTTCTGAACGTGCAGATTCAGAAAAATTTCCATGTCAAAATGTTTTCAATTACTGAAAGTAACGAAATCTGTTTTCTTTTGGAACCACATGCGAAAAAAATTAACAATGTAACAGACACTCGACCGTGACGGTTACATAGCAGTATTCAGACAACCGCGTATTCAGACTAGTAAGTATTTAGACAAAAACTGTTTCAACCAATCAGGATCGAGACAAAGAAGAAATTAATAAATCTGTAACATTCGCCCAAATACTACACAGTGACGGAGCGTAGAAAAAGTACCTATTAACGACGGGCTAAGTAATGTTGTGATAAACTTATTAAATAGTTTCAGATAAATTTGAATTTCTCGAGGTAGCAATGGTTGCCTCGCTCTAAATGTCAACCAGGAGATATCACATTTTCAAAACATCTTCGTCAAAGAACCTTCTGATAGCAGATTCGCAGGCGCGATGTGACATTCGACCAGAATGGACCAAAATGCAGACGCAGCAATTTCGAGTTTTTAGCAGAGAACCTTCCGAATTGGCCGTTTTGAAGGAATAAGAGCGTTATTCGAACGATTGGACAAATCGTGAAGGCTGAAGGATTCGGAATTTCCTAAATTTTAAAAATTCGAATTGATGACGTAACAATTCTAAGAAACGTCAAAAACGGCCATTTTAGCGAAGAAACTGAAATAAACACAACATTAGTTGCGATAGCGATAACGACGAAAATTGTGATTGGAAAACAACAACTAACTGCAGAAGTAGCAGAGACCGTTCCGAGTTGCAACTATTGTGTCGCTACAATAGTTGCAAGGCCGTTGCGAACAACTGTGAAGGGTGGAAGACAGCCTTCCTGAAGGAAGATACGGGTCTTATTTCCCCGGATTCAAGAATCCGGAGGGGTCTAGAGACTGGAACTTATATCATTTTATACCAACTTTTAGCTTTCTTATTATGTCCTGAATTGAATTTAATTAAAATCTGAATTCATTTTGCTAGGATGAGAAGCTAGGAGTTGGGGGAAAGGGTTGATCCATCTTCGATGGAGATGATGATTTGTATCTACTGAACAAAAACAATAATAATTCAATAAACAGTAATAGCCCTGATTTTAGGAGTGATCTCGTGGTCTGGGGATGTTGAGACCCAGCCATGAGCTCACTATTTCTGCATGTAATCAAGTTAACTTGAGTGTTTTGACCGTAGCCGAAAGCAGTAACGTTTTTGTCGACCCGATGTTAGAAAGACCACCGAAACAACTGGCTTGGTAGAGACGGTGAAAAGCATGTAGAGCTCTGTGAAGACGTTGGCCAGTCCTCTTAGAACGTAGCTTTATTTTCCGTCGATATGTATCTTCCGGGCGAATGTTACATAGATGTTTTTATGGCGCTCCTGGGTGTTATTCTTTTTTAACATCATGACCGGCAGAACCGTTAACGAGCACTCCGCGCCGAGCGGATGCTCACATTAACACCCTTAATAGGCCAAAACCGCCGGCTCAACGACAACAACAATCGACTGTTGGGTATAGTTAACAAGTTTTGTATCCCTTTTGGTACAAAAATTAAGATAGTAATCTGTGGGGGGCTCGACAGTGCTGCACTGTAGTGACCCTTCACCGAACTGCGAATATCCGAGTTAAGCACCTTAATTCGGATTTTAAACAAACTCAGAGGGGTATAGTATTACTAATATTATTACTTATATATGTAACATTCGCCCGGAAGATACATATCGACGGAAAATAAAACTAAGTCCTAAGACGACTGGCTAACGTCTAAACAGAGCTTTATATGCTTTTCACCGTCTCTACCAAGCCAGTACTTTCGGTGGTCTTTTCTAACATCGGGTCGACAAAAAACGTTACTGCTTTCGGCTTTGGTCAAAACACTCAAATTAACTTAATTACATGCAGGAATAGTGAGCTCATGTCTGGGTCTCAGTATACCCAGACCACGAGGTCAGTCCTAAAAACAGGGCTACTACTATTTATTATATTACTATTGTTTTTGTTCAGTAGATAAAAATCATCATCTCCATCGAAGATGGATCAACCCTTTCCCCCAACTCCTAGCTTCTCATCCTTATCAAAATGAATCCAGTTGTTAATTAAATTCAATTCAGGACATGACAGGAAGCTAAAAGTTTATATAAAAGGATAAAACTTCAGTCCCGAAACCCTTCCGGATTCTTGAATCCACTGAATCAAGCACGTTAAACTTGACTTCTCCGTAACCCGGAAGGCTGTCTTCCACCCTTCACCGTTGCTCGCAACGGCCTTGCAACTATTGTAGCGACACAATAGTTGCAACTCGGAACGTTCTCTGTCAATTCCGTGATTCGTTGTCGTTTTTCTATCACAATTTTTGTGCTTCTTGCTATCGCAACTAATGTTGTTCTGTTTCTTTTTAGCTCTCTTGCCAAAATGGCCGTTTCTGACGTTTCTCAGAAATGTTACGTCATCACTTCGAAAATTTAAAATTTAGGAATTTCCGATTTCTTCAACCTTCACGTTTTGTTCAATCGTTCGAATAACGTTCTTAATCCTTCAAAATCACTAACTCGGAAGGTCACTGCTAAAACTCGAAATCTGCAGAGATTGCATTTTGTCCATTCTGGTCGAATGTCACTTACTCCCCGGACAGTCCGGTCAATGTCCTCATTGAATCTCGCAATGTTCGTAAAATAGATACAGTGTCATCGAACAGAATTTACAAAATGCACGAAATTACTTTTATCCACGTCACATCGACTCACTACAGAATATAACTGGCATCATACCACATCACTATAGCCTTCAAATTCCTTCATTAATCTGCACATTGAGGATATGACCTAAGATAAAACATATTTTCTGACTTCCAATGTCAATGTCCCAATTAAAACTTTTTCTCTTAGATTTAAAAGGTGTTGGTTTGCAGGACAGTCCTGCCAACCAACAAGCTAAAATTATCCTACTACGCTTTTTCCCTTCGGAAATCTTGCTTGTTTATTGTCCTGAATATTAAAACTAAGGAACTCTGTGGTTAGAAAGAACAATGAAACAATCTCCCTCTTCGAGAGATTACCCAAGCCTTTCATGTCACCACAAAGTGATCAGTTCTCCTAGCTGATTAAAAACAGTCATGTAGGCTGGAATACTTAAATATACTCCTTCACTCAAGCCTTTCTAAATAAATAGTAAGTGAATGTCTCTAAAGCCACTCAACTAAAATCAAAATGCCAATTTATTAATGCAACAATTTCAAAACTCAACTAAATGTTTCAGCTTTCAATTACAACTTGGTTGCTTGGTTTCTCACTTGAGTTTTTTCACGCACATAAAACAATTCTGAGTTTTAACTTTTTCTTCATCACTCCTTTGTTTTCTTCTTTTTCCGTCGTTTAGAAGTTCTAAAACTTCTAAATTCTTCTAATTTCATCTCTTTTTTTTCATCTTGTTTTTTGGTCATTCGTCAATGTTCCATTTCTTCCTCCTGTGATACTGACTCTGCACTCTCAGTTTCCGTATCCTGCAACACGTCGTTAGCTATCCTGACGCTGCTGGAAGCCGTCCTCCAACACTTCTGCTCTTCTACCCTTTGTTTGCAACAAGGTAGGGGATCCACGTTAGATTCTCTGTTCCTGCAGAAGCTGTTGTGGAGACACAACGTCACGTTTCTCTCCAAATCTTCCTTTAACATCTCTGCCTTCTCCTTTCCACTACGTTCACTCGTCCTGGAAATTCTTTTCACAGCGGTGGTCACTGCATTACGATGAGTCACGAGAGCTCGCTTGGAAGCTCCTGCTCCAACGTCCAGCTGATATTCACTGTACACCCTGCCGTGCTTCGACATATGCTTTTTCGCATATTCGTACAACCATGCAGTCATGTTAGCTCTGAACCATGGCATCAATCGTTTTCTTGCCCACATTTTCTTCAGTTCCATCGGAATGTTTAGAATTTTGCACATTGTCTCAAAAAGATCTAAATCTTTTAGACAATCTAATTTCCGCAACTGTTCTCTCGTCGGTGCCTCCTGTCTATTATTCTCTCTCACATGAGCTTCCAGCCATCGTATCGACATCATAACTCCCACTATCACTTTTGTTATGGGCTGTGATGAATCTGGTAAACCCATGGAGAGCAGCTCTCCAGAGTCCCAGATCAACATCAGATTACTACGCTTGGGATACCACCAGGTCTGCAGCAAGCAGTGGCAAGGAAACTCGTCATGTGTCAACATGATGCTCCTCCAATTACGTTTTCCCAAAGCTTCCAGTAATGGTTCCACTTCCATCATCACTCGGTGGACTTCATCATTCTCATCTACTGCATTGTAATCTGTGACAGTTGATCCTCTCTGCTTCTGTCTCTCAAAGTCACTGAAGTTCCCGCTCACATATCCCATGAACTTCCTTCCTA